TACTCTACTCTACTCTACTCTATTCTATTCTTCATTCCAATATTCTGTTCTATTCTATTCTGTTCTGTTCTGTTCTGTTCTGTTCTGTTCTGTTCTACTCGACTCTACTCTACTCTATTCTGCATTCCCCTTCAAATCAGGATGATGGGACCGAGCATCTCCATCTGGCTGCCAAGCCGTACAGTCTTCTTAAGCCTACTTCAAGGTTGGCTGTAAGGAGGCCCAGAGAGCTTTGCAGGCTCCTTGCAAAAACATCAAAAGGGAAAGGGAGGTTTTAAATCGTCCCTGCTGATGCGTCTCCAAGAAATGTCATTCTGCTCCAGGAATCCGGCATTTCTCCCCCCCCCCCCCCAAGATGCTTCTATTTTCCCCCGTCGGTCACCCTATGTGAAGATGGGAGACTACAAAAACAGTGAGTCATCAGGTGCCGAGAGATGGTTTTAAAAGTCATTTGCAAACAGCAACCTTCTCCTCCCTCTCTCTCTCTCTCTCTCTCTCTTCCCCATCTGTGGCTTTGAGTCATCCTTCCAAAACAGCTCCACCAATTTATCCGACCACAGCAAACTTTTATTAGCGGAGTCTTCTGGGGCAAGTAAAGAACAGCAGCTGAACAGATTTTTAAAAAGAGAGAAAAACACCAGCGCTTGGCTGAATCGCAGAGTTGGAAGGGAGCTGGGAGGTCTTCTAGTCCAACCCCTTGCCCAGGATCACAGAATCACAGGGTTAAAAAGGGACCTTGGAGGTCTGAATAAACCAGGGGTCCCCAACCTTTCAGACTTCAGAGACCACTAAATTCATAATTTAAAATCCCGCGGACCACTAATATGATCTGCCTACTGACCAGCTGGGTGGGTGTGGCTAGGGGGAAATCATGTGACTGGGTGGGCGGGGCCAACTCGATGTCACTCATGTCGAGGGGCACCTCGCTGGCATCTAGACACCCCTCCCAGCCACCCCTCCCCTCCTCGCCTGGGCTCCTTAGGACCCCAACAGGAAGCAGTTGCTGGAGCTAAGCAGCCACCAGGAGAAAGAGTTGGCAAAACAGCTCAGTTCAAATTGGATCAGACCGAGGAGGCGGCTCAGCAGAAGCACCTCACTGAGGACTAGGAGCATACATAGGCTTTCCAAGCAGAGGGAAGACCTGCGGGAGTGCAAGGCCAGGTACTGGCGCCTGGAGGCTCAGTGGGCTGAGATGGTCAGCCGGTTCCAGGCCATGATGCAGTCCCACTGGAACGAGGCCCTCCGGCTCTTTGCCACCAGCGGAGCTTCCCTCCAGCCTTCGCCCAAAGCCCCCCACCAGGAGGCCGAAGCAGACCCCAAGTCGGAATTTCTGCCCCCCTCCGACCCACACAAAAAGACCCCGAAGGGGGAAACTCTCTGCAACAACACAAATGTTCATTGCACGTATCCATCCCAGGGGCCGTAGTTTGAGGACCCCTGATTTAGTGCAATATAAAAAAACGCAAATAATTTTTCTGCGGACCAACAAAATTTTCTTACAGACCATCCATGGTCCACGGACCACCAGTTGGTGACCACTGTTCTAGGCCAACCCCCTACCCAAGATTACAGAATCATAGGGTTAAAAGCAGAGGTGAAATGTTCCTGGTTTGGACCGGATCACCCGATCCGGTAGCGATGAAGGCGGATGGTTTGGAGAACCGGTAGCAAAAATCCCTGCCCCTCCCCCAATGCCCAGGTGAGCCGCGCAATCATCAGAGGCTTTTTTTTTTAATTTTTAAAAGCATTTTTTCTACAACCTCTTCGGCCGAAAAAATGCTTTTAAAAGTTTTTTTTAAAAAGCCTCTGATGATTGCACGGCTCAGCTGGGATCGTCAAAGGCTTTTAAAAGCATTTTTTCTACAACCTCTTTGGCCAAATGGTTTTAAAAGTAAAAAAAAAAAAAATTGGCCACCCCCACCTAGTCACATTACCCCCCCACACACACACCAAGCCACGCCCACAGAACCGGTAGTAACAAATTTTACATTTCACCACTGGTTAAAAGGGACCTTGGAGGTCTTCTAGTCCAACCCCTACTCGAGCAGGAGACCATTATACCTTTTTGGACAAATGTGCTGTCCAACTTCTTCTTAAAAGAGTCCTTGTCCTTAAGGAAGACAAAGCCAAGCAGAAAAATCTAAATCTTGCACCAAGGGATTTGTTTGTTTGTTTGTTTAACCTATAAGCAGTCCTTGATTTACAACTGTTTGTTTAGTGTCCGTCCAAAGTTACAACCACACTCAAAAAAAGCAACTTATCACCGTTTTTTTTTTTACACTAAATGACCGTTTAGTGGCCACGTGATGAAAACTCAGATGCTTGACCACTGACTCATTTCCCATGACCCTCTTGGGCAACCGTCTGAGAAGCAGGAAGCCAGATTCGCTTAACGGCCGTGTGACTCACTTAACAACGGTAGCGATTCTCTTTAGCAAGAAGGTGGTCAAACGAGGCAAAGCCCACTTAACAAATGCCTCGCTTAGCGACCTAAATTTGGAGCTCCGTGGCGGTCATCTGTTCGAGGATTACCTATCATCACGACCGCAACTTGCCGAAAGCACAATGTACGAATTTGGCCGCCGGTTTCCATGGGGAAAAACAGCAGTTGTCCGTTGAGCCTGCGTGAATCAAAGCTTGTGCTTGTCCTTTGTGACATTTGTGTGGTTTCCCCTGGGATGCACCGGTGTGTGTTGTGTTGTGTGTGGGGGGATGGGGGGAAGACACACCGGGATGCCAAGATGTCAATCCGTGCGTGTCGTATTCGGTGGCAGCTCAAACAGAGTCGCCAGCTGTGATTTGACATCTTAACTGTTGGAGATGCTGGGCAGGGAAATTACCAGGATGTCTTCTTTTGTCCTCTCTTTGGGGGGGGGTGTTTCCTAGCCCAGAGAACTAGATTTCCCCCAGTAACAGTAACAGAGTTGGAAGGGACCTTGGAGGTCACCTAGTCCAAACCCCTGCTCACACAGGAGACTTGTACTAAAGATTCGAACTGCCGAACTTTCTGTTGTGGCCGTCAGTGGCCTGTGCAGTTAGTAGCTGATTCTGACAGCGAGGAGGCTGGTGTGGTGCTGCGCCAGCAGCCTGTGCAGCTGGCGCTTGAGTCGGACAGTGAGGAGGCTGGAGAAGATGTGGTGCCAGAGGTGGGGATTCAGCCAGAGCCTCCTTCAAAACCTCCAGAAGCTTCCATAAGTGAAGAGGACGAAGAGGAGGAGCCTCTTCTCGATGCACGGGTGCGCAGAGCTGCCAAAAGGCAGGAGTGGCTCCTCAGGAGGAGGTCTCCTCGAGAGTAAGGCTTGGGGCTAATTGGCCACTCCCTTAGCCTATTTAAGGAGGAACGCCGACTGAAGCAATTTGTAGGGAACAACTTCGTTCACTCTCCTTCGCGTCCTGATCTTAGTTCTCTTATCAGTTTCCTGTAAATTGCTTCTGGGCATTCTGCCAACCCTAGTAAGATTACGATTATTTATTCTTTGGATTCTTGTAGGCTGTTAAGAAAGTTAATTAACAGCCTTTGTTTGAAAAAGACTGATTTAATTTAGGAAACTAAGGTTTGTACAGACTTTGTGTGTGCTGCGTTCTTTGGGGTCCGTAGCTGGGGCAGAACACTTTCTGATCGACAAGTCAGGTATAATGTATAATAATAGTATCAATATTATAATACTATATAAATATTATAATATTATAAATAAATAAGGTCTCTGGACCTACCCCAGGGTCCTTTCCTGGGCTCAGGATGCTGGGGTTTGTAGTCCCCCACACCTCTGGAAGAGCACCCGTTGCAGAACTCTCCTTCCTAAAGAAGAGCGTGCAAGCCCTCCTTGACTTACAACCCGTTCCTTTAACGGTTGTCCAAAGTTTCCAGAGCTCCCAAAAGAAGCCGCTTACCCCAGGTCCTCAGACTTACGACCATCGAGGCATCCATCCCCATGTGCAATCCAAGAGTTGAGCAGCTAGCCCTCAATTTGCAGTTTAGCCACTGTGGGAAAATGAGACTTACTAACAGGTTCTCTCGCCCTTAAGGCCGTTTGCAGGCCCTCTAGAGTCACGTGATGAAAACTCGGACACTTGGCAACTGGCATGGACTTATGACAGTTGCAGGATCCTGGAGTCACGTGACGGCCGTTGGCGATCTCCGCGGCCGGCTTCCGACGAGCAAAGCCAAGGGCAGATTCGCTTAAAGACAGCACGATTTGCTTAACAATTGCAGGGATTGGCTCAGTGGGGAAATGTAAAATTCATGACTACTGGATGGATGGATGGATCATAGATAAACGATAAGAGATAGATGGATGGATGGATGGATGGATGGATGGATGGATGGATAGATGGATGGATGGATGGATGGATGGATGGATGGATGGATGGATGGATGATGGATGGATGGATGGATGGATGTAGATAGATAGATAGATAGATAGATAGATAGATAGATAGATAGATAGGATGGATGGATGGATGGATGGATGGATGGATGGATGGATGGATCATAGATAAACGATAGAGAGAGAGAGAGAGAGAGAGATAGATAGATAGATAGATAGATAGATAGATAGATAGAATGGATGGATGGATGGATGGATGGATCATAGATAAACGATAAGAGATAGATGGATGGATGGATGGATAGATAGATAGATAGATAGATGATAGATAGATAGATAGATAGATAGATAGATAGATAGATAGATAGATAGAATGGATGGATGGATGGATGGATGGATCATAGATAAACGATAGAGATAGAGAGATGGATGGATGGATGGATAGATAGATAGATAGAATAGATAATATAGATGGATGGGTGAGTGGATTGCTTGATTGATTTCTATACCGCCCATCTCAGCAACCTCTGGGCAGTTCACAATTCAAACACAGATTACAGTTCAAACCTTAAAAAACCAATAAAAACAGTAAAAGGTATTAAAACATTTTTTTAAAAAAAAAAATCCACGCCTTCTCGCTGACCCCTCCCGACCTTTCCCTCCTTTCTGCAGAACAGCCTGGAGCAGTGCAGCGTCTGTGCCAAGCCCATCATGGAGCGCATCTTGAGGGCCACGGGGAAAGCTTACCACCCTCACTGCTTCACCTGCGTGATTTGTAACCGGACCCTGGATGGCATCCCCTTCACCGTGGATGCCGGGGGCAACATTCATTGCATTGAGGATTTCCACAGGTGGGACGCGAGGGGCTGGCGGGCAGGAGAAATGAGGGGGTGGGAGGATGGGGTGTACACAGCAGCGGCCAAAATTGTGGAAACCTTTTGGGGAAAGTGTATTTTCTAAAAGTACCTAATAACACCACTTTTTCTTGCAGTAGTACCATCAAATTATATATCCATGGAAAGATAATTTAATCAAGACTGTAATGCAATAACTTTTATGAAGGATTTGCTATTAGAGTAGCAGTGACAGTATAAAGAAGAAAAGCGAAGCACGTAGAAAAAACGAGAGATACAAAAATGATCACCACGTCAGTTAATACTTATTTGGGTAAACTTTAGCATGAATTACAGCCTTACAAGGTCTTCTCATGGAGTGAACCAAGCCTTTGAGTTCTGCAGCTGTTCTAATGGGAAACCAAGATGGAATGATGGCTTCTATTAACTGGGTTTTATTGCTGGGTCGCTTCTCACTAACAAGTTTCTTTAGTCGGCTCCATCGATTTTCAACTGGGTTTTAAGGTCTGGGCTATTCCCAGGCCATTCATTCCAGCAGTGGAATAGGATTATCTTGAAACTCCAAAAGAAAAAGTGGTGTTATTAGCCATCAAGCCTCAAAAATACACTTTTCCCAAAAAGGTTTCCACAATTTTGGCCACTTACTGTATGTTGTGAATTCGCACAACATGGCGAACCGAGGTTAGCAGAACGCAAAGCCTGAATTCCTTGTGTAATAACCTTGGATTGTGTTCTGACCCAGCTTTAGCAGAAGCAAGTAACAGACTCCTTGTCACAAAAAAAAAAAAATCCTCTTTCTTTTCCTCTTGTGAATTAATGGCATTCACCCACTGAAAAGTCCAAGAAAGAGTCCTTCAAGGAGTTAAATGCAGCAACAGACCTTATCCGTTCCTTGCGATAATTGCCACCCAGTCGAAAGGCTGCAAATTAAGTTCTGGCCAGCAGCCTTTGTGGCACGAAACACAATGAGCCAAAATCTCCAGAAATACGAATGGTTGTCTCCTACGACCACCACTCCCCTTTCCTCCCATTTATTCCCCAGCCAGGGAGGGGCCATTCAGCATCCTTCCCGAGTCGACTCCTTGTCCTCCGTTGTTCTCCTCTTTTAACTGCTCTGCGCATCTGTGCATCTGGAACAGGCCCCAGATGTTCTTCCTCCTCCTCACTCATCTCAGCCCCCAAAGGCAGCTGCCTCTCCGGAGGCTGGGAAATGTCAGACGACCCCGGCTCCATCTCTGCTTCCAACGTAGAGCAATTTAGTCGAGCTTTTTCTTTTAATTGTTTGTAAACTCGTGAAGAGGGAAACCCACCCCCCCCCCAATCTCTGAATCCTTGGTTCCCCTGACGGATATATTATGTCAGCAGCATTCCCACACTCTACTCAGGGAGATACTCAACCCAAATCACAACGGAGTATAGGTAGTCCTCAACTTACAACCACAATGGAGGTGGCAGCTGGCACCTGGGAAACAGATACCTGGCAGAGATTGTCTATTTTTCCTCTTATGCCAAAGAGCATCAAGACATGGAAATCTTGAGTTTCTTTCTCACCTGTAGCTTATTATTCTTTCCCTACAGGCAGTCCTCGACTTACCAAGTTCATTAAATGACTGTTCCAAGTTACAACCGCACTTTAAAAAGTTACTTATAAGTAAAAAGTATACAAAAGTATAGTAACTTACTTAAAGGTTACTATTTTTCACACTTACGACCGTGGCAGCATCCCCATGGTCATGTAATCAGAATTTGGACGCTTGGCAACTGATTCACATTTATGACGGTTGCAGTGTCCCGGGGTGATATGATTCCTTTTTGCGACCTTCTGACAAGCAAAGTCAAGGGGGAACCCAGATTCACTTAACAACGGTTTCCCAAAGGTGCTTTTTCAAGAGGTAACTGGACTTTCTGGTTTTTTCTTTGAAGACATTTCGCTTCTCCTCCTCCTAGAAGCTTCTTCAGCTCTGACTGGATGGTGGGGAATGGAAATCTAGTCAGAACGGAAGAAGCTCCTTGGGTGAGAAGTGAAACATCTTCAAAGAAAAACAAAGAAAGCCCAGTTGCCTCTTGGGAAAAAAAAGGCCCTTTGGGACAACCAGGACCTGGATGACGGAGAAAGATACTCCATAGATACTTAGCCATATTACTGGCATCATAATTGCAGTGATTCACTTAACAACTGTGGCAAGAAAGGTCATAAAATGGGACAAAACTCACGGAACAAATGTCTCACTTACCGATAGAAATTTGGGGCTCCTTTGTGGTTGTAAGTCAAGGACTACCTGTGTTCACTCTCACCATCTCTCCTCCCCAGGAAATTTGCCCCCCGATGCTCCGTCTGCAAGGAACCCATCATGCCCGCTCAGGGCCAGGAGGAAACTGTCCGGATCGTGGCCCTGGACCGTGACTTCCACGTCCACTGCTACCGCTGTGAGGTGGGTGCCTTCAGCCCCTCTTCCCCCCCCCCCCCCCCCCCCCCCCCCCCGCTTGGCTCTCCTCTGGCCATCTCCCCAGGACAAGGTGGAGCGAAGCACGAAATCCGGCCACCCTTTAAACTGCAAAACCTCCAGGTTAAAATACACGGCTAGCCAAGCTGCAGAGCGTTAAGGGGAGGAGAAGGGAAGGGAAGGGAAAGGAGGAAAGGAAAGGGGAAGGGAGGGAGGGGAGGGGAGGAGAGGAGAAGAAAAAATGAAGGAAGGAGAGGGAGGGAGGGAAGAAAGGAAGGACAGAAGGAAGGAAGGGAAGAGGAAGGGAGGAAGGAGGGAAGAAGGCAAGGGAGGAAAGAAAGGAAGGGGGAAGGAAGGAAGGGAAGAGGGAGGGAGGAAGAAAGGGAAAAGGGAGAAGGGAAGGAGAGGAGAGAGGGAAGGAGGAAAGAGGGAGGGAGGAAAGGAAGAGGGAGGGAGGAAGGAAAGAAGGAGGGAAGAAGGCAAGAGAGGGAAGAAAGGAAGATGGAAGGAAGGGAAGGGAGGGAGGAAGGAAGGGAAAAGAGGGAAGGAGAGGAGAGAGGGAAGGAGGGAAGGCAAAGGAGGGAAGAAAGGAAGGATAGAAGGAAGGAAGGAAGGAAGGGAAGTGGGAGGGAGGAAGGAAGGGAAAAGGGAGGAGGGAAGGAGAGGAGAGAGGGAAGGAGGAAAGAGGGAGGAAGGAAAGGGAGGGAGGGAGGGAGGAAAGAAGGAGGGAAGAAGGCAAGGGAGGGAAGAAAGGAAGGATGGAAGGAAGGAAGGAAGGAAAGAGGGAGGGAGGAGGGAAGGAGAGAAGGAAGAAGAAAGGGAGGGAGGAAAGAATGGAAGGAAGGAAAGGAAGGACGGAAGGAAGGGAAGAGGAAGGAAGGAAGAGAGAGAGGGAAGAAAGAAGAATGGAAGGAAGGAAAGGAAGGAAGGGGAGGGAGGAAAGAAGGAACGAGGAAGGGAGAAAGAAGGGAAGGAAAAGGAGAGGAAGGAAAAATCTATTCATTCCCTTCGCCTCTAGACATATGCTGGGGGGTCCCTAGATGGAAATCAGGCTTGGAACCCCAACCAAGTGAAGCCACTTAACATGCCGGACCCTCCCTGTCCGGTCTCGGGGGCCAGAGCTTTCAGCCCCACCCCTTGGGCAGCCCCCCTTGGGGAAACAGAGTCCCCATCGGAGTGAATCCTCCTAGGCGAAGGAGAAGGTCTTGCCCGGTTCGGTAACCCTCCCTTTCCCTCCCGTCTCTTCCACGCAGGACTGTGGGGGTCTCCTCTCCGAAGGCGACAATCAAGGCTGCTACCCCTTGGATGACCACATCCTCTGCAAAGGCTGCAACTCCGCCCGGATCCAGGCGCTGACCGCCAAGGCCAGCACTGACCTCTGAAGAGGGCGCGGAGGGATCCGGGATCCGGCTTCCCAGGACTCTCCTGCACGCTACTTGCCCCCCCACAGCAGATTGCGCCATCTTTCTGCACACACCTGGCTGTCTAGGGAAGGTATTTCTGGGCGGGGTCCTGAGGCTCTTTCAGGGGGGCTTCTTAGCCCCTCCCCATGGAAAGGAGCCTTTCCCAGAGAAAGAGAGAGAGAGAGAGGTGTCCAATTTCCACCTCCTTAGGTTTTGGGGTGTTACCATGCACCCACATTTAAGAGTGGGGGTGTCGGGTGGAGTCCCTAGATGGGGGGTCACGTCCTCACGCCCCTTTCCACTTGCATGCCTTTAATTGCACACCTGTCCTAACCATAATCAAGGGCTTTTCTGGCACCTCGTTCAATGGATTTAGCAAAATTTCTCCCTTGTCCTAGTTCGACTTCATCCTATCTTCCTCTCTCCCCACCCCTCAAATATATATATATATATATTATATATTTATATATATTCCCTATGCCTTTTAAACCACCATTGCCTAAGGCTTCTTCCTCTTTGGCAAGCCTTCAGCTTGTTTTGCACATTTCTACAGGTAGTCCTCGACTTACGACCCCAGTGCAGCCCAACAGTTCCAGCACTAAGCGAGGCAGTGAAGGGTGCCTCATTTTACGAACTTTTTCTGCCACGGTGGTTAAGGGGACCACTGCGGTTCTTAAGTTAGTCACACCGTCGTTAAGTGAATCTGGCTCCCCCCCACTGACTCGGCCAGTCAGAAGTTTGCAAAAGGGAATCATGTGATCCCAGAACACTGCAACCGTCATAAGTACGAGTCAGTTGCCAAACCTCTGAATTCGGATCACATGACCACAAGGATGCTGCAGTGGTCGTGCAAAAATTGGTCATAAGTCACTTTTTTTCAGGGCCGTTGTAACTTCAGACGGTCACTAAACGAACGGTGGTAATTCAAGGATTATCTGTATATCCAAATTCCCTTGATATCTAGTATCATCACCTGTTTTATGCCTTAAAAAGGAAAGAAATTTTAAAAACGGATAAAAATTGGGGGCTGATAGTGTTTTCACTTGCCCCAGGATCAAAATAAATTTAGCAAGACAAAAGATTTAATGGCCTGGAAAAAATTTCCTGGTTTTACAGATGGACTCATTGACACGATCTCGCTGCTTTCCTTTATTGGAAGCAGTTAAGAGGAACACACAATGTGTTTCATCCGTTTCCTGCATAGGTCGTCCTGGATTTACGACCATAATTGGGAGGGACCAGAATTTCCATCGCTAAGCAAGATGGTTGTTAAATGAATCACACCTGATTTTACAGTCTTTGCTGCCTGCCACCATTTTTAAACGAATCACTGCCCTTGTCAAGCGAACCACACGGTCGTTAAGCAAATCTGACTCGGTTTATTGAGGGCTGCTGGCGATCACACAACCCCGGCACACTGCCACCGTCGTAAATACATGCTAATTTGATCACAGGCTGCAGCGGTCATAAGTGGGAGGACTGGTCGTAAGTCCCATTTTTTCAGTACCATTGTAACTTTGGTTGTAAATCAAGGACCATCTCTATGGATTTATTTCCAGGTTTGGCAGTAGAGTAAAATTTCCCCAAGGCCAGTCTTTTTTCAACTTCGGCCCCTTTAAGAGAAATGGACTTCAATTCCCAGAATTCCCCAGCACCAAAAGTTGGAATATACCTGCTGAATAAAACTCCACATTGGTGACAGGAAGGGCATCTGGCCAGGAAACACTCAGCTCCGTTCAGTTGCCCAGAACTCTACCCCGCGAGGGATTAAATTAAAAGAGGATGATAGAGGAATATATTTTGCAAATTGCAAAGCATTATGTAATCGAGTGCCCCAAAGTGCCTTTTGCAGAAGGAATTTTGGACCTAATCTGAGCAGTCATTAAACAGATGGCCATTAAGTCGAGGACTAGTTAGTTAAGCCCTGAGACTGGACTAGCTAAGACTAGGCTTAGATTTTCTGAAGCTGTTTTTCTCCGGACTTTTAATATAATTTGGGTGGTTTAGGAATGGGTTGATCAATCATTTAAGCCAGGAATCCCCAAACTCAGCCACTTTAAGACTTGTGGACTTCAACTCCCAGAATTCCCCAGCCAGCGGGGAATTCTGGGAATTGAAGTCCACAAGTCTTAAAGTGCCCGAGTTTGGAGATTCCTGATTTAAGCAGAGATTCTTTTGAATCTCTTGCAGTCCTTTGTGGAGGGCATGTTTGGGAAAGAGTGAAAGAAGAAGGATCAAGAAAAAGAAAGAGGGAAAGGCAAACTCAGTCTGGCCACTCAGGCAGGAAACAAGATTTATAGAAAAATAAACAAGAGGAACCAGATTAGAAGGGATCACGAAGAGAGATGAAGAAATCAGATACCGTGGGAAAGCTTCACTCTTAAAAGCATTTTACAGCAGCAAAACAAGCTAAATCAATATTTTTCCAACTTGGCAACTTGAAGGGGTGGGGAATTCCCATGGCCGACCGAGGAATTCTGGGAACTGAAGTCCAGGCATTCTGGCTGGAGAATTCTGGGAGTTGAAGTACATGCATGCAGCCTGGAGAATCCTGGGAGTTGAAGTCCCAAGTGTGATGAATTCTGGGAGTTGAAGTCCAAACATGCTGAATTTAGGGAGTTCAGGTTCGCGCATGCTGTCTGAGGAATTCTGGGAGTTGCAGTTTATGCGTACTGAATTCTAGGAGTTGAAGTCCAAGCATGCAGAATTCTTAAAGTCTTAAAGCTGCCAAATTTGGGGACCCCTGCGATAGAGGATGTTGCTTCTGTTCTTTATTATCTATCAACCTTTAGCATTTCTCAACCTCTTTAGAGACTTTAAGATGGGTGGACTTCAAATCCCAGAATCCCCCAGAAAAATGGTTGCCTGTTTCCCAGTTTCTGTGGATCGGAAGACAATTGTTCCGCCAGGCCGGGCTATCAATGTAAAGATTTTAATTGGTTTTAAATTGGTTTTAAAAATGGGATTTTAAATTTGGGGTTTTATAATTGAGCCTATTATTTAATAATTTTAATTATTTTTAAATTTTGTCTGCCTTTGTGCTTTTAATCAGGCTGTATACCACCCTGAGTCCTTCGGGAGAAGGGCAGTATAGAAATAAAATTAATTAATTAATAAATTAATAAATTTGGGAGTCAAGCTATAGGGCCATTTTAGAGTAAGGAGATTGGGGGATGGCTTTTAGGAGAAAGTGGTCTTTGCAATTTTACAAGCCGGGGGATGTAATACGAGCAGGAGGAATCCCCTCCTCACCTGAGAACCCCCCTTATTTTAAATGCACTGTTTGCAATTAGACAAGTCAAATAAACATCAGATATAACCGCCCCCTTAAAACCAGGAGCCATTCCAGCAAAGCTCATGAATATAGAAAGCTAAAATAAAACACTTTTTTTTTTTTTTGCATCTCTTGCCTTCTTGGCTGTGTATTTTTCCTGACCCTCGAAGTCTTGAATCACCAGCATATATATAAATAAATATATATATATATATATTTTATATATAGTCAATCGGTATATATGGTGCCTTATTGTACTTTGAAGAAAATGCAAAAGTGCCTTTGCCAAGTTTCTGTACGTTTTATTCTATGCAATTTTACAGCTTTTTGTCCTTCTTGGCTCAGTTCGTTGAATGATTACGATGCTTTTAATTGCCTCTGAATTTTTATCCTGTTATATTTTTGCTAAGTTTTCCACCGTAAGGAGAAGAACGTGCACTGTTTCAAAACTTTTCTCTTTACTCCTGCCAAAGAACCACAGATTATTATTATTATTATTATTTTGGAAACTGTTAGCAAACTAATAAACTCTCGATACACTTCAGTTTGTGTAGGTTTCCCGTGTGCATTTCTTTTTTCCAACTCGGCACCAACATTGGGGGGGGGAATGAGGCAGTTGTTAAATGAATCACCTGGTCGTTAAATGAATCGGACTCCCCCCTTGACTTTACTTGCTGGGAAGGTTGCAAAAGGGATCACGTGACACCTGGACACTGCCACCGTCATAACTATGAATCGGCTGCCAAGCATCCAAATTTTGATCACGTGATCAGGGGGAAGCTGCAACGGTCATTAAGTGTGAAACACGGTCATAAGTTGCTTTTTTTAGTGCAGTTGTAACTTTGGGCACTAAACAAACCGCTGTAAGTCAAGGACTACTTATAGATTAAATAAACGGTCATAAGTCAATGCTGTAGTCATTTTGGAACGGTCACTAAATGAATGGCTATAAGTCAAGGACTATCCAAGTCTAAATTCCATGTCTTCCCTAGCTTCTGTAATAGCAGCACACACTTCACATACTGGCAGTCCTGGACTTACGACCACACAATTGAGCCCAATTGAGCTCGTTCTTAAGCGAGACAGTTGCTAAGTGAGATTTGCTCCATTTTACAACCTTTCTTGCCACTGTTGTTAAGTGAGTCACTGCGGTCGTGAAGTTAGTCACATGGTTGTTAAGTGTGACTAACTTATTTAGTTAATTAGTTAATCCAGCTTCCCCCATGGATTTTGCTCACCAGAAGGTCGCAGAAGGAGATCATGTGATCCCAGGACACTGCCACCGTCGTAAGTACATGCCAGTTGCCAAGCCTTCTAATTGCGATCACGTGATCACCCTGGGGATTCTGCAAGGGTCGTAAGTTTGAACAACGTCCCTAATTCGTTTTTTCAGTGCCATCGTAACGTCAAGCGGTCACTAAACGAATGGTTGTAAATCAAGGACTACCTGTATAGTCCAAGCAAAGGAACAATATGAAAAGGCAGGATGAGGGCGTGAAGCTATTTTGGAAATGACTCTGCAGTGAGGAAGAATTCATGGGTTCTTCCCGGGATCAGAGCCTCTAAAGAAATTTGGAGCAAGCCAACCACGCACCGTTAACCAATTTTACGGCTTCTGAAGAACAGGCATTCCTGCCTTCACACCCGCCACACTGCATGGAACGAAACGGATTAAGAGATTAACAGGGTTGGAAGGGACCTTGGAGGTCATCTAGTCCAGCCCCCAGCCCAAGCAGGAGTCCCTACACCATTTCTGACAGAGGGCAGCCCGGTCTCTTCTTGAAAGCTTCCAGGAATGAAGCTCCCACAACTTCTGAAGGCAACTTCTGTTCCATGGGTTGATTGTTCTCACGGTCAGGAAATTTCTCCTTATTTCCAGGTTGAATCTCTCCTTGGTCAGTTTCCATCCATTATTTCTTGTCTGGCCTTCGGGTGCTTTGGAGAATAGCTTGACCCCCTTCCTCCTCTCTGGGGCAGCCCCTCAAATATTGGAAGATGCTCTCCTGTCTCCCCTGGTCCTTCTCTTCCCTAGACCAGCCATGTCTTCTGTCCATCTATGGTTCATTTAGATATCTTTCTTTCTTTCTTTCTTTCTTTCTTTCTTTCTTTCTTTCTTTCTTCCTTCCTTCCTTCCTTCCTTCCTTCCTTCCTTCCTTCCTTCCTTCCTCCCTTCCTTCCATGGTGGCGCAGTGGTTAGAGTGCAGTACTGCAGGCTACTTCTGCTGCCTGCCGGCTGCCTGCAATTTGGCAGTTCGAATCTCACCAGGCTCAAAGTTGACTCAGCCTTCCATCCTTCTGAGGTGGGTCAAATGAGGACCCTGATTGTTGGGGGCCAGAGGCTGACTCTGTAAACCGCTTAGAGAGGGCTGTCGAGCACTGTGAAGCGGGATATAAATCTTAAGTGCTAAGTCTAAGTCTATTAGTACCTCACAGCTTTGCTGGAATTGTGGGAGTTGAAGTCCACAAGTCTTAAAGTTGCCAAGATTGGAGACCCCTGCTCTAAAAGGATGCAAATGACCAACTGTCATTTGCCTCTTGAAGAAAAAGCACTTTTGAGACAACTATGACCTGGAAGACTGAGAATCTGCACAGACTTTTAATTCAGTGATTCCCAATCTGAGTGGTTTGAAGATGGATAGACTTCAACTCCCAGAATTCCTCAGCCGGCATCCTAACTTGCTTTGTGTATGTAAATTATGACTCAGAAAATCTAGCTTTGCTGTCTTGGGTTAGAGTTGAGATTCTCAATCTTGGTAATTTGAAGATCAGTGGACTTCAACTCCCAGAATTCCCCAGCCAGCCATGGCTGCTCCTGCCTGGTGATGCTATAAATCACCACTTCTCAATCTGGGTAACGTGGACTTCAACTCCCAGAATTCCCCAACCTGCATGGATGGATGGGTGGGGAATTCTGGGGGTTGAAGTCCATCCATCTTCCAAGCTACCAAGATGGAGAATTTCAGCTTTAACCCAAGAAATCAAGGCCAGATTTTCTGAGTGCTCATTAACATATGCAAAGCAGATATAGGATGCTGGCTGGGGAATTCTGGGAGTTGAAGTCCGAGAATCTCAGCTGTAACCCAAGAACAAAGCCAGATTTTCAAAGTCACCTTGATCATATGCAAAGCAGGTAGGATACAGGCTAGGGAATTGTGGGAGTTGAAGTCCACCTATCTTTTGAGATGGAGAATCTCAGCTCTAACCCAAGAAAGCAAGGCCAGATTTTCTGAGTCCTCATTAACATATGCAAAGCAGGAAGGATGCTAGCTGGGGAATTCTGGGAATTGAAGTCCAAGTATCTCAGCTCTAACTCAAGAACAAGGCCAGATTTTCTGAGTGCTCATTAACATATGCAAAGCAGGAAGGATGCAGGTTGGGGGATTCTGGGAGTTGAAGTCCCTTCCCCCTCCCCCATCTTCCAAGCTCCCAAGATTGAGAATCTCCGCTCTAATCCAAAAGAAATAAAACCAGATTTTTTCTGAGTCAGAATTAACATATGCCAAGCAGGTAGGATGGCAGGACAGACGGCTGGGGAAGAGAGCAGCCTGGAAATATTTGCCAAACATTTTGCCTTTTTCCCCAAATGCTGCAATTTTCTCTCTGCCCCCGTCCCCCCTCCCCGTTTCCCCCTCCCGTTCACGTTTCTTCAAGAAATCTGCTTTTCAAAAAATAAATAAATAAATAAACCTGGGCACGTCAGGGAATGCCAGGCAGGCTTGGCGAGCTTCCCCATCTCACGCTGGCACCGCTGAGCAGCCTACGGAGAAACGGAAGATCGGTCCCCGCCTGCCAATCAGCAACCCAGAAACACAGCTTGGAATTGGCTTCTCAGCTGCCACACTGTTGGTGCAACTTTCTGCCCACTGTCTTCCTCTGGGCCCCCCTCTCTAGAAAACACCACCCCCCACTGCAATCTGGGTTCTGGGTTCGAATTGCACGCCTTGGAAGGCTCAGTGGGTGATTCCAAGCGGACCCAACGGGCTTCTCGGGGAAGGTGAACGGAAAGGTTTATTATGGCTGTTGCTATGAGGGTCCTGCCTCTAGTGTCCTTTTATGAGTAGCACCAAGGTGGCTTCTGATTTTGCCCCACAAACAACCACCAACCACCCTGCGAGGTAGGCTGAGCTGAGAAAGGAGGGCTGGTTCAAAGCCATCCAACCAGGTTTGGCGCCTCAGGCAGGACTAGAACTCACCGGCTCCTTCCTGGCGATTGGCCTAAAGTCACCCAGCCGGCTTTTGTGCCTGAGGGGGGGATGTTAATAGCATCAGTCACGCTTGATGATGTAACATAGTTGGGTGGTAAAAGGTCTGCAAGAAAATAACCAAGCTCAGAAACTATTAAGGATCCCACAGCTCTTTTCCTGTCCCTGCTCCTGCTCCTGCTCCTCCTCCTCCTCTCCTCCTCCTCCTCCTCTTCCTCCCTGCAAGCCCTACTTCCTCCTAGCACTGATGATGTTACCTAGTTGGGTCATGAAACATCTGTAAGAAAACAAGCAAGACAGAGAGCCCTAAGAAATTCCTCCTTCTCCTCTTCTTCTTCCTCCTCTCCTTCTTCTTCTTCTCCTTCTTCTTCTTCTTTCTCCTCCTCCTTCCTCTTCCTCCTCCTCCTCCTCCTCCTCCTCCTCCTCCTCCTCTTCCTCTTCCTCCCTGCAAGCCCTACTTCCTCCTAACACTGATGATGCTACCTAGTTGGGTCATGAAACATCTGTAAGAAAGCAAGCAAGCACAGAGAGCCCTAAGAAATTCCTCCTTCTCCTCTTCTTCTTCCTCCTCTCCTTCTTCTTCTTCCTTCTTCTTCTTCCTTCTCCTCCTCCTTCCTCTTCCTCCTCCTTCTCCCCCTCCTCCTCCTCCTCTTCCTCTTCCTCCCTGCAAGCCCTACTTCCTCCTAACACTGATGATGTTACCTAGTTGGGTGGTGAAAGGTCTGCAAGCAAGCACAGAGAGCCCTAAGAAATTCCTCCTTCTCCTCTTCTTGTTCCTCCCCTCCTTCTTCTTCTCCTTCTTCTTCTTCTTTCTCCTCCTCCTCCTCCCCCTCCTCTTCTTCTTCCTCCCTGCAAGTCCTACTTCCTCCTAACACTGATGATGCTACCTAGTTGGGTCATTAAACATCTGTAAGAAAACAAGCAAGCACAGAGAGCCCTAAGAAATTCCTCCTTCTCCTCTTCTTCTTCCTTCTCTCCTTCTTCTTCTTCTTTCTCCTCCTCCTCCTCCTCCCCCTCCTCCTCTTCTTCTTCCTCCTCTCCTCCTTCTTCTTCTTCTTTTTTCTCCTCCTCCCCCTCCCCCTCCTCCTCTAAGGGGTGGGGCTGGCATCCCCCCCCCCCACTCCCTTCCAGACTCCCAGACACCAAAGCTGCCGGCTTTTTGCAGCCCGCCCAAGGAACTCTTCAATTTTCTCAGCGGTGCCACTTTGCATTCATTATTTTGGAGAAGGGCTTCCCAGAGGTTTAAATTTAGCCCTGGTGCTTCCCCCACATCCCCAGCTCCCTAATTCCAGGCTAGACCCCCCCCCTCCCTCCCTCCCCTCCCTCCCTGGTGCCCATCATCCCCGGCTTTCTCCCCTGCCTTAGCCGCCTCTTTTGTCGACATGCAGTCACTGGAGAGAGCTTGGCCGATCTCCAAGGAACAGAATGTACTTGGCAAAGCCTGACGCACCGAATGTCTGTAAAACGTCGGCAGGAGAAGCCAAGAATTGCTAACTGGGTCATTAACCCCGCAAGGAAGCACCCGGGTTGGGGCTGGGCTCTCTCGCCCTCCCGGCTGGCACCCCGGGGAAAAATAAAATGCCTCCAGGCCTGCAACAGACGCAGATGCCAGGGCAGCTGGGCACCCAAGGGTGCCATCCATCCGTACCCACTCTGGAGATTCTTCCCCAGGTGGGACAGGGGCCTTGGGGGGCAGGGTTCAGAGGGGCTGGGGGGGTGCAGCCGGGCTTTTTGGCTCAGCCCCAAATGGGTAGAGAAGGGGGGGGGCTGGATAAAAATGTCTTACTCGCCACCCAGCCCGGCCTGATGACCTCTGGGTGTCTGCAACCCACCTTGGATGGGGCTGCGTCTTGCTCAGGGTGCTTGTGCCGAGTTCACATCGGTTCACCAGGGTTAGCAGAGGGGAACCCAGGAGGTTCTGGGGAAAAACAAAACAAAACTGGACAAACATTCAACCAGGGTTATGTAAGGTCTCCTGCCTGGGGCTGGACTAGAAGACCTCCAAGGTCCCTTCCTAACTGCTTCTATCAGCCAGTCGGATTTAGTAGTTAAGACAACCAGGTTAGGAACCAGGAGATGGTGAGTTCTAGTGCCACCCTGGGCATCAAAGCCAGCCGGGTGATTTTTGAGCCGATCTCGCCAAGAGGCTCTGAGTTCTAATCCTGCTTTTGGCATAAAAGCCAGCTGGGTGCCTTAGTTTTAGTTCCGCCTTAGCCGCCTCTCCTACCCCACCCCACCCCTCAAAAAATCAGCTAGGTGACTTTGAGCCAATCCGCCAGGAAGCTGTGAGTTCTAGTCCCGCCTGAGACAGGAAAGTCAGCCGATCCGTCTCTCAGCCCAATCCACCTCACAGGGTTGTCGTGAGGAAAAGAGGAGGGGGGAAGCAGAATTAGAGAGGTATTATCAAATATAATAAAGGCAGGCAATAAATCAATAAATCAATAAATCAATAAATCAATAAATCAATAAATCAATAAATCAATAAATCAATAAATCAATAAATCAATAAATCAATAAATCAATAAATGTAGTGCTCGACTTACCACAGTTCATTTAATGACCGTTCAAAGTTATAACAGCACTGGAAAATGCGACTTACGACCGTTTTTCACAGTTATGACCTTTTGCAGCATCCCCAGCTGCGATCACGCGATCGAAATTCAGATCCTTGGCCCCTGACTCACATTTATGACGGTCGCAGTGTCCCCGGGGGTGGGGGTGGTATCACCCGATTCCCTTTTGGCGACCCTTCCGACGAGCAAAGTCAACGCGGGAGTCAACAGATTCACTTAACAACCGGGTTGCTAACATGTCAACGGCGGTGATTCGCTTAATAAACAGTGGCAAGGAAGGTCGTAAAACGGGGCACAGCTCGCTTAACCCGGGTCTCGCTTAACGACAGAAATATTGGGCTCCGTTGTGGTTGCAAATTGAGGACGAGCTGTAAACTAAGGAAATAAACCACATGCTTGTGGTGTGAAGCAACTTAGAACTAAGGAGGAATTTCCTGACAGGGAGAACAATTAACCAGTGGAACTACTTGCCACCAGAAGTTGTGAATGCTCCAACACTGGAAGTTTTTAAGAAGATATTGGATAACCGTTTGTCTGAAGTGGTGTAGGGTTTCCTGCCTGGGCAGGGGGTTGGACTAGAAGACCTCTGAGGTCCCTTCCAACTCTGTTATTCTACATATTCTAACAATTTGAATTCCTCAATGGTTTGATTGAATTGGACCACAGCAGAATTTGGGGGTGAATCTGTCCCTTCATCCTTGACCCCTCCTGTCCCTGGTCTGTCCGGGCGGCTGCTGTGACCCTCCAGAAAAATCAGGGACTTGGGTGTCAAACTTGTGATCGCAGCAAGTTTGCATCCCTGATTGTGCAACCGTTTGCCACATGCATGGAATTTTACAACCATTCCATCTATTTCTTTCTCTTTTCTTTTTTTTTTTTGCACTGACCTTGTAAACATCTCTTGTTTTCCAGGATTTTGACTTTTTTATTTTTCCCCTTTCAAACACTCCCCCCAAAACTCCACCCTGTTCCTGAAGAAAAGGCAGCTTTAATTGCAGCCTGTGGTTTCGTTTTGCAGCCAGGCGGGCTCTCCCCTCAAAACGCCCTCCCTGCAGAGCGGGTCCCTTTCGCACAACACGTTTTTTAAGCCCATCGGTCGAATTGCTTAGCGGGGCCTGTTGGACGACCGGCTAACTCTGATGACTTTTAACCGTGGTTAGATTTATTTATCTCCTCCTGGGGTTTAAAATCCTAGCCGCTTGGTTGAAGCCCAAAAGATCTCACATGTATCCCTTGTGCAAATAACGCCAATTCTGTAAGTTGCATCTGTTTTCCAACAAAAATAATAAAGGAAGTCCTCGGCTTGCAACAGTTCATTTAGTGACCGTTCGAAGTTACAATGGCACTGAAAAAAGTGACTTATGACTGTTTTTCACACTTACGACCATTGCAGGTTCCCAGGATCAAAATTCAGCTGCTTGGTAACCGACTCCTATTTACGGCCGGGGGGGTGTCACATGACCCCCGTTTGCGACCTTCTGACGAGCAAAGTCCATGGGGAAGCCAGATTCACTTAACAACGGTATTACTAAGCAGTGATTCACTTAACAACTGTGGCGAGAAAGGTCGTAAAAGGGGGCAGAACTCACTTAGCCACCGTCTCATTTAGCAACAGAAGTTTGGGGTTCGATTGTGGTCGTATGTCGAGGACTCCCTGTATCATCTGCAACATTTGTGTACTAATAATTTATTTTAATTATTAATTAATTAAATTAATTCTTTATTCATTTAATAAAGAAATAATATTTCTTTATTAAATGTCTCCACCGCCCAACCCCTGAAGGAACTCCAGGTAGTTGACCACAGCTGAAGAAAGAAAGAAAGAAAGAAAGAAAGAAAGAAAGAAAGAAAGAAAGAGAAAGAAAGAAAAAGGAAGAGAAAGAAAGGAAGAAAAAGGAAGAGAAATAAATAAATAAATAAATATAACAAACTATGTTATAATAATAATTTTAATTAGCAATTTTATGATGTTTGTGTATCTATATTTTTCTTGACTGTACACCGCCTTGAGTCCTACGGGAGAAAGGCGGTATAGAAATATAAGAAAGAAAGAAAGAAAGAAAGAAAGAAAGAAAGAAAGAAAGAAAGAAAGAAAGAAAGAAAGAAAGAAAGAGAAAGGAAGAGAAAGGAAGAGAAAGAAAGAGAAAGAAAGGAAGGAAGGAAGGAAGGAAGGAAGAAAAAGAAGATTTTAGAGACAATTTCGAGCAATGTTTCTTAACCTCAGCAACTTTAAGATGTGTGGACTTCAATTCCCAGAATTCCGTGCTGGCTGGGGAACTCTGGGAGTTGAAGTCCAGACCTCTTAAATGGCCAAGCTTGAGAAATATTGGATTATAAGAAGATTGGCTGTTTGTCATCAGTGTCAGCATCTTCAGGACAGCACGGGATGCCAGAGGCTGGCAAAATAATGCAAATGAGGGGCATCCCGGCACCCACAGCATCCGCCTGGCATCTGGCAGGGGCCGCTGTTGCCCATCCTTGGCCAGTCTGGTGCCCAGGGGTGCCTGGCTTGGTGCCCGGTGGAAGCTGGGCTCAACCCCATCAAAAGCAAACTGGGAGCAAAACAAAGTGGTGCAGATGTTTCAAACATCTGGGAGAACCGAGGGAGAAAAGCCTAAAATCACCACCTAAAAGACTTTGGGGCTATTTTTGCACTGCAGGTTTATTCTTGAAGTGGAATTAATTTGTAAACTTCAGAAAACTGAAGGCGAGAAATCAATAAATTTTGTATTGGTATGTTTTTTATCCTTGGCTGTGCACCGCCCTGAGTCCAATAGGAGAAAGGCGGTATATAAATTGATAATAATAATAATAATAATAATAATAATAATAATAATAATAATAATAGCAGTGGACTTTTTTTACCCCCTGTGGAAGGGGAAGGCCTCTCACACTCTTCCTCCTCTCCCTTTCCCCCCAAAATCATTCCTTCTGACTTCTGTCCCCTGTTTATTTATTTTATTTTATTTTTATTTTTATAAAATTTGTATGGCGCCCTATCTCCGAGGACTCAGGGTGGCTCACAACGACAATCAGCCAAGCGACTGTTAAAACCAACAACTCTACATAAAAAAATCAAAAAAGTATTTTAAAAATTAAAAAACACTACCCCATCAGTCCAAGTTTAGGAAGTCCATCCCGTGCCAGGGAGCAGCTTCGCGTCTCAGGAGCATCTGGACCGGATTCAGCCAGCAGAGGCTTCCTTCCTTCCCAGGCGCGGGATTTATAGCTTCACTTATCGGGAGGATGATAAAACTCCCCTTTGCCGCCCTCATCTCTGCTGATGCTCCAGATCGGTCTTTCTCACCCTCCGCAACTTTCAGGTGGTTGGACTTCAACTCCCAGAGTTCCCCAGCCAGCATAGGGAATTCTGGGAGTTGAAGTCCAGACGTCTTAAAGATGCCAAGATTGAGAAACACTGCTCTAAATTGTCTCTAAAATCTTTCTCTTTCTTTCTTTTCTTTCTTTCTTTCTTTCTTTCTTTCTTTCTTTCTTTCTTTCTTTCTTCCTTCCTTCCTTCCTTCCTTCCCTTTCTCCATTCCTCCCGCCTTCCTTCATTCTCCCTTTTTATATCTTCCTTCCTTCCTTTTTTCCTTCCAGAATAGAATGGAATGGAATGGAATGGAATAGAATAGAATAGAATAGAATAGAATAGAATAGAATAGAATAGAATAGAATAGAATAGAATAGAATAGAATAGAGGAGAGGAGAGGAGAGGAGAGGAGAGGAATAGAATAGAATAGAATAGAATAGAATAGAATAGAATAGAATAGAATAGAATAGAATAGAATATTGGAATGAAGAATAGAATAGAGTAGAGTAGAGTAGAGTAACGTAGAATAGGATGCAAAATAGAATAGAGGAGAGGAGAGGAGGGGAGGGGAGGGGAGGGAAGGGAAGGGAAGGGAAGGGAAGGGAAGGGAAGAGAAGATATGAAGGGAAGGGAAGGGAAGAGAAGAGAAGAGAAGAGAAGAGACCTTGGAGGTCTTCTAGTCCAGCCTCTTGCTCAAGCAGGAGAAATGAATGGATTAAATCAAATACACTACCTCTTGTCAAGTCCAACCTGACTGACCTATTTGACCATCAGTCCAGGTCATTTCTGAACACCTATGACCCGTTGGGCAGCAGCCCGGAAGTGACTTGACGTGCCTTTGTTTGGGAAATCGTTTGAACCTCCCAATCCTGCATCTCCTGGTGGTCTCCCATCCATACCCTGAACAGAATAAAGGCAGTTTTTCAGGATCAGCGGCATTTCTCCAGATCCAGCCTCTGCCTGGACTACAGATAATCCTTGATTTACAACCATTCATTTAGTGACGGTTGGAAGTTACAACGGCACTGAAAA